GTGTGCATGCACTGTATGTCAAGTGTGGGTTTCTGGTGAACATGAGGAATGACATTACTAACAGAGCAATAGAAGGGGTGGAATCCTTATGGCTGGAAGGGATGACACAAATGGGAAATTAATAGTGGGGGTATGTTACAGGCCCCCCTACCCTGCCAGATGAAAAGGAGATGGATCTCCTTTCACCCTAGGTTCACACCTAAGCATTTTCTGCAGCGTTTTTCAGAAATGCAGTACAGTCCATTTAACATGATTTCCTATGGGACAGGTTCACATCTCCGCGTTTTGACCCACTGCATTTTTTGGAAAGTGTGAGGCTAGGTTCACACCTATGCAGGTTACGTTTGAGGCTTTTCTGCATTGCGTTGCGTTTTTGCTGTGTTTGTGCTGCGTTATGGTTTTTTTTTTCCATTTTTCTTGTTGCTAGGCAGATTTTAAACCCAAAATGCATAACAAACGTGGCAAAAATGCATCAAAAACGCAATTCCTTTTTTTTTTCTGCAGCGTTCCCATTGAAGTCTATAGAACCAAAAAACTTGCCAGGGGGTGTTTTTCTAAATGATTTCTCAGCAAAATAAAGCATGGAGAAATGGATGGATGGGTGAGTTTGCTTTAAATATTAAAAATGAATTAAATAGCATTTTCGGTTTGTGGTGCTCAGATGCAGTGTGGTTCCACTTTATATATATGCTTAACACATACATGGGGTCATATTGGGGTAAACGTTTCCTGCTGATATTGGCATCTTGACCTTGAAAATGTTGAGCACCATTGGTGTAGTTCATAAAAATTGACCATGAATAGCATGCGGCATAAATGAAAGTCTATTGTTGGGGCAAAGAAATCATGAAACAGGGCACACACTCAAGGCTGCTACACATGCTGTAGTAGAACCTTTACTGGGAATAATGGGTGATCTGTGATTGCTCATCTGAATCACCATACCTCCTAGATCCCCTGAAACTTTAATCACAGCCTTACCCAGTTTATGAATGTTGTGCTGATTGTTTTGCTACAGAGAAAGGAAAACCATGTGAGAATAATCAAAGCTCAACAGTGGTCTTTATTGCAAGAAAGTTAGCTCTTGCATTACTCAAGAGACAGAAATCAGTTTTATTACTTTACTAAATATTGAGGCACCTTACAAACCAGTTGGAAGGTATACAGTTGCAAGCTGGAAAGGTACTCTAAAGCTGGTAAAAGACATTAAATGAGCTTCAACTGTTAATTGGTTTGGACAACCATTGCATGTCTATTGCATTGGGACACAACCCATTGTGACCTCTGATGGAAAAGATAGATTAATGTCTATTTGCTATGGTACTATAGCTTTCTATCCATACCTCCCTTCTCCAAATGTGTAACTGTGTATGCTCAACATGGCTGCAGACAGCAGTCTTGCAAAAGAACAGTTGAATCATTTCTGCACTTTTAGGGGCACATTAAAGCAGAACTCCAAACAGCTAAATACAAAACATAAATGTTTACTAGAAATGGCGGTCTGTTCCTCGTACAAGCCATATTTTGCTTATGCTATGTGACAAGTACCACTTCTAGTTTTTCTTTCATTTAAAGACTGGTATCCCAATGGCTGCAGGGTGGTGAACATATAGCCTCTACCAGCCATGTGTAAGTGCTTTAACAAAGGAGTCAAAGTAATTAAGGCTCGCTCAGGCCACCATTCTGGCAGGGGCAAATTACATGCAGTAACACAGAAGATCACCATAAAGTGTTGACCTGGTTTGATCCATTATTTTTATTGACTTTATGAAAGGTGTAGTTTGGAATCTCTTGTATTGTTAATAATTGCAGAAGTTACATTAAGAGGAATATTTTTTTTTTTACTGAATCTTAACCCCTGCGCATTATCGAACATAATAAAGTCTGCAGGACAGTGTGCCCATATTGATATGCTGCTGAAAACCTGTATGAACGTCAGCATTGGGTGGCTGCTTCAAGAAAAGGACTTATAAACGCACCCTCTGAAAACATTGAGACAGTATTTACAGGCATAGAGGCAAAGGCTTATTTACCACAAGGCACCTGCCTAGGGCGGCATTTTTCAGGGGGGCAGCACCTCCCCCACAGAAGAAGGGATGAAAGAAGAGACACACGTGCCATGGGAACTAGGTAGGATCGGAGAGAGGCTGCAGGCTGCTTGATGGTGTATGTAGAGCCTTACTCTTGTTCCAGGGGATGTCCGGAGCTGTGAAGATGAGTATCTTTTTCTCTATCGTCGGGGGAGGGGGGAGGTGGAAGGCTCTCCCGGGTGGGGGGCAGGGGTGTTGTTGGTCAATGTCAGCAATGTCAGGTTCTCTCTGCGGGGGGGGGGGGGGTGTTTAATCGCTGTCTGTGGGGGCAGATGATTTTTGTGTTGCCTAGGTCAACACAACACCTAAATACACTACTGCATACAGGTGTACTAAACCCTCTTTTTTATTTCAGAAGAGAATCATCTTCAAAAAATTATTTCCTCCTGTAGCCGGGGGTCCTATGTTTTTGGTCCCTGGCTCTCCGTTTGTGCATGTCTCCTTACCTAGCCATATGCTAAGGAGACACCCATGCATGCTCCCTCTCTGTGCCGAGCTATGTGTGTCCATAAACACACACAGCGGCGGTAAGGCACGTCCATGTTCTCTGCTCTCACCAGTTTGACTGGTGGCAGCAGGGGCCAATTGTTTTGCTGCCCTCAGTGCCTGTTGAGGAACCAGGAAGTTCTGGGAATGGTGCTGATAGATCCTGGACCTGGTGGCTGTGACAAGGACAGTAGGTAGGTGTTTGAAAGTAGTGGGAGGGGGGGTTAATAAAAGTAGAGGAACTTTTTTTTACCTTAATTCTGTGAATGCATTAAGGTAAAAAAGTGTATCCTTTAGAACTGCTTTGATGTCCAGCCAAAACTGCTGTCTCGAGCTTCATTAGAGAGATTTCTCCTCATTTAGTGTCCCTGGGACAACAGTTTCATCAGACAGGACGTGAGGGAAAACTGCAACAATTCCTGGGAAAACCATTGTCACCGAGACAGTAAGGCTGGCTATACACTAGTAGAATTTTGTTAAAAAAATGATTGTTTTTGAAAAATGTGTTTAATTTTTTAACAGGTAGTGGGGTCAAATCAACTTTTTTCATTTTTGAGTGTAGTGAAGAGAAAGCTTGACATTAGTTTCTCAAAACACCAAAATTCTAACTGTGAATGTGGTTTTTGTTTGAGAAAAATTGTACATATTGTAATACACTTTATTGGCACAAAAGATACCAGTTTAATACATCTAGAATTCAGTTACCGTATTTTTCGCCGTATAAGACGCACTTTTTCTTCCCCAAAACTGGGGGGGAAATGTCAGTAAGTCTTATAGAGTGAATATGGAGCGGCCGGTCCGGTATTTCCACCGCGGCCGTGTCAGAATACCGGGCCGGCCGCTCAGCTCTGCAGCGGGACCTTACCTGTTCCTCTATCCAGCGGCGTGCTGTCTTCCCGACTTCTGTAGTGTGGGCACTGGGCATGACAGCCGGGTGCCAAGTGCGCATGCACAAGAAGCGGTGCTTTTTGTGAATGGTAAGGCGGTACCTGGGACACATGACAGATCCCAGAAGCCGCCGGACCAATCACAAAGAGCAAGTGCTTCTTGCTCATGCGCACTGGGCACCCGGCTGTCATGCCAAGCGCCATTACAGAAGCCGGGAAGACAGCGAGCGGCTGGATCGAGGAACAGGTAAGATCAAACAAAAACTCAGCGGAAGTAAGAGCGGGTACCTGTCAAATTCAGGTACCCGCTCCCCACCTCCCCAAAGGTCAGCAGTCATCTGTACTGTCCACAGTCTCTGGTCATCCCTGTGCTGTCCGCAGTCCGCAGTCTCTGGTCATCCCTGTGCTGTCCGCAGTCTCTGGTCATCCCTGTGCTGTCCGCAGTCTCTGGTCATCTTCTGTACTGTGTCTGCAGTCCATTAGTTCAGAATTTTTTTTTTCCTGTTTTCTGCCTCTAAAACCTAGGTGCGTCTTATGGTCAGGTGCGTCTTATTCGGAAAAAATACGGTAGGTTGGCCATACAATATGCAATTTTCTTTCCTTCAACCACAGGTTGAAAATAGCTTCATTCAGTCAGTGTTGATGGGGGAATCCTTCCCGTTGTGCTATCGTATTCCGACAGTGGGAGGTTTCCCTGCTTTCAGAATACAATGGTCGCTGCTGCAGACTACAGCCAGCGGCAGCGATCGCACGAAAAAAAAAACTTTACAGGATGGTTATACTGAAGTCATTCCATAGATTAACTTCAGTACAACTAGCCTGCCCATAGATGGATCGAAATTATTTCAATCCATCTATGGCTGGCTTTAGTATCAGGTCTGATCAAAGGTTTTGAACAAAATAAGTTGACCTGCCCCATTAGTTCGCAGCAATCTCTCCAATGGAGCCCTAAATAGCAGGGCATTAAATCCTTCCCTGCTCTTTTCAAAACTAAAACAAAAAAAAGTTTTGACTGGACATGTACTTGAAATACATTCACTTACAAATAGACTAAATTAACTTGGAGAACAAATCCTGCTGTGATTGTAATCTGGTAAGAAAATCCAATTAAATTCTCAGGAAATCAAATTGCGGCAGTTTGTCTTCTAAGGAGGCAAAATAAGTAAAACAAAAAAACTGGAAAAAAACTTAAAAAGTAGCAAAGTTTTACTTTTAAATCCCTTAATAAAAGTTAATAAGGGATGCTTTGTTCACTATAATGTATTAAAACTAAATGTGTGCACTCTGTGCAGGAAATAGTATCCAACTGACTACAAAACTTCCATTAATTTATCTTCTTCATTGGTGTGAATAAAATACAGAATGAAGTGTGGAGCTGGTTCCCTCTAGTGGGGACATTTAGGTACTGAATGTCAGCAGCAGGTAATAAAGAACAATGAGATTTTATTACTCTTCTGATATGGTACAGTCACATTTGTTGCTTTAAAACATAATTTAATATTAACATAAAAAAATAAAAGTTGCACATTAAAAGATTTTAGTCAAGGAAGCGGGAAAGGTCTTCCTTGATTTCTGCTTCATCCCAAGGTCCGTGGATGTTATCTTTGAACAGCTGTAGTCGAATGAGGATGTAGGGGCACAGAAATGTCACAAATGCAAGCAGCAGGAAGAAAAGCAGGGCTCCCACACTAGATATACTTAACATCCCTGCCAGAGAGGACAAAGCGAACAGAAATGTGACACACGTGTAAGTCCGTGGAGTGTAAGCTCTTAGCTTTCTCTGCAGGCTTGGCCAAAGGGCAAAGATCTGAATGGCAAAAGTCACCATAGTAAATGCATGCAGGGAACGAGGAAGGCGTGAGGCCAAACACACGGAAGCAAAGATGGCCATATTAATGGATAATGTGTTAGAGACAACTGCTGCATTGGCTCCATAATCAAAGAAGACAAGATGTCCTATGAGCATGAGCACAGACATGGCATAGATAGTATCTGTGCTGATGGACTCTGTCAATGTTTTCAGCACCGGAGAGAAACCATAAGTGAAAGCTACAAACACCAAGGAACTCTTTAGATCATCCCAGCGAGTCCGTCCACTGTCCTTCCGGCCAGCTCCTCTGTCTACTGCATCAAATATAAGGTAGCCAAGGAGTGTGGAGGCCAACCCAACCCCACATAGCTTCTGAGGAGACAATAAGTCCTGGTCCATATACCACCAAATCACTGAAAAAGAACAGACACTGCATAATTGATGGATTACAACTACAGATTCAAATACCACAGCCCAGTAGCTGTAGCGGCGGACATAGATATTCTTCCTTAGCTCTTCCAAGAAACTTTTATCGACGTAATTGTCGGGAAATGGCTGTCTTTCATAGAGAACCTTCCTCCAAAGAGAGTGGACATCTACCGGTTCTGGTGAAGAAGCGTCCCCTCTCCATGTTACATCTGTATAGGCACCAGAATTAGAGCTTTGCAGAACTGGGCTCATATCCTCCTACTTGCTTGTCAGATTAGATCCCAAAAGTAAATCCAAATGTCATTGCCTGTAACAAGAACACAATACAATGTAAAGAACTCAGTGTTGGTGGAAGAATTGTTACAGTTGTAAAAAAAAATAACATTTGTTATTAAAAAGAACAAAATACACTGAAGGTACTTGTAGATATAGGTCACATTTTAGCCATTTACTATCCATTGTTTTCTATGCGTTAAAGTGATATTAAAGCTTCATTTTTAGGGGATTTTTAATTACAAACATGTCATACTTACCTGCTTTGTGTAATGGTTTTTCACAGAGCAGCCCCGATTTTTCTCTTAGTTTCCGCACTGGCACTGGCCCCTCCCCTTTGACCAGTCACTTGCTATGCGGCTACTGGTGTGTGCTAGCTCCCGAGCCCCGCTCTATGCATGCATAACCACTTCACCTCTCACACCTGTTCATCCCTTATGGACCAGAGCAATTTTTACACTTCTGATATGGACCTGTTTATTTAGCGATAACATACTTTAAGGACAAACAAGGCTTTCTTTTCATGAATATTGTCTTGCAACAATGATTTTTTTTTTACTAATCCTTAGACAACAGAACTAAACAAAACTCACTTTTTCTTTTTTGCGCAGTGTTAGTTTAAAAATTGTGTTACTGCACATAAAAAGTGTGCATTTTATTGTGTATATTTGCCGTGTGGGCAGAGCCCCACACAGCCACGCTGTTTTCAAATCTGACTGATAGTACGGGGAAACGTCTCCCCATACTATCTGTCAGAGAGGGGGGGGGGGCGCGGCAGGCGCAACTGCAGCTATGGCAACATGTTACATGTTCCGTTCTAAAAATGGGTGGAACATGTAACATGTTCCCAAAGGTGATCCTTTAAAGTAGAACTATAGGCAAAACTTTTATTTTCATTTTGGATACAGCAAGGGAGGGTTATAACCAGTCAGATTTTTTTTTCCACCATTTGAATCCCATAGCGCAGATTTCTCTTCACTTCCTGTCCCATAACCAAACAGGAAGTGAGAGAAAATTCCTGCAAATTAAGGGAATTCCTCCAGATCACCAGAACTAGTGTCCCCGTTGAAAGATTTCCCCTCCTTTACTTTTTGGGAACAACTCAAAATGTGGGATTTTGTTTAACTTTCATTTTCAATGATAACAGTAAACAGGACAAATAGAGAGGGTGACTCTCCCTACCAGGGTCCCAGACAGCAATAAAAACCGAGAGGTGTCCTAATTCTTCCATACTCTATCCAAAACTAAAAAATGTTCTGCCTTTAGTTACACTGTTTTTAAATCTGACAGATAGTACGGGGAACCTTGGGGGGGGAGGCGCAGCTGCGGCTATGGGAGCATGTTACATGTTCCACCCTAAAAACAGGTGGAACGTGTGTAACATGTTCCCAAAGGTTAACTTATCCTTTGAAGTAGATCTATAGGCAAAACTTTTATTTTCATTTTGGATCAAGCAATGGAGGGTTATAACCCGTCAGATTTTTTTTCACCATCTGAATCCCATAGCGCAGATTTCCCTTCACTTCCTGTTCCAAAGCCAAACAGGAAGTGAGAGAAAATCCCTGCAAATTAAGCGAATTCATTGGGGACCTCCAGGTCACCAGAACTAGTGTACCCATTGGAAGATTTCCCCTCTTTTACTTTTCTGGAAGCAACCAAAAATGTGGGATTTTCTTTTACTTTCACTTTCAATGATAACGGTAAACAGGACAAATAGAGAGAGTGAATCTCCCTAATGAGCACAGACAGCAATAAAAACAGAGGTGATCTAATCCTTCTACACTCTATCCAAAACTAAAAAAGTTCTGCCTTTAGTTACACTTTGACATCATCTACATATCAAAGTTCATCCCTTTGATATGTAGATGAATAAACAGAATAGATACAAATGTAACAATATTTTACTTTTTTATCTTTCTGTATTTGGCTGAGTAATGTTCTTAATAAACATTGTCAGACTTTTTTTTTTGTACACAGCTCCAGTTGTAAAACATAGAGAACAGATACAAAACGCCAAATGATTTAATCTCTCCGAGTCTGGGTTCACACATGCGGTGCGGTATATCACATGTGAATTGCACAGGAACCGCACCGCATTCCTGTGCAAATAACGTGAATTGTGTGCGGTGTAATTGGAGCCATACATTTTGTATGGCTCCAATTGCACTGCATCCGCACCAAAAAGTTGCAGATTTTTTTGGTCTGTACTAGAATCGGATTGCATGGGTATTCACACAAATGCAATGCGATTCTGCACATCAGCATTTTGCGGACCGATTTCGGGGTGTTGTAACATACACACCCGCAGCGATCCACATGAACGGGGTGCGATTGTGATGCGGTGCGGAATTTGCACAGAAAACACTGAGAATTCCGCACCACATCAGTGTGAATCCAGGCTAAAGATAGAGAAGAGAGGGATAGACAGAAAATGTGGAAACATCTAGCAGTGGAAACTAATGAAAAGTTGATACAGAGAAAGTCATAACATTGGATGTTCCTATCTCAACCAAGGATCCCATATAGTACTGAAGGCTTCTAATCCGTTCTCTACCCAGGACTACAACATCTTCAATGAGCACATTGTATGCAGCTTTGAGCCAAAAAAAGATATTCTCTGGATCTTGTAATTATTTGAGGAACATCAGTTGACTGTGTACAAGCATCATGTTAATGATCTAAACTTGAAATGACAAGCCAGAGAGAATGTATATAACCTATTTATCTTCCATCTAGGTATCAGTACTAAACATTGACAGGGTACCCAGAGCGGATGTGTTTTATCCGCACGCAAGATGCAACACAGTGCCCATCACTGTACAGTGCAAGAAGAGGTGAGTTTATTTCAGCTCAGTGGTTCTTATTTTAAAAAATGGAATGTGCAGTAACCCACAGACACCAATAAAGCACATCTTTTAGGCTTCATCCACACCACACTTGAACTTTAAGAGTTCCTTTATGTTAAAAAAAGTAGTGATGCACCGATATATCAGCCGAAAATAGTGTTATCGGCATTTTGCCAATAATGATAATTGACTGCAAATTGCGTCCCACTGACTTCAATGCAAAAATGCCCCCTATTGACGTCAATGCAAAATTGCGTAGCATTGACTTCAATGCAAAAAGACACCTATTGACTTCAATGTAAAATCGTGTTCCATTGACTTCAATTTAAAATTGCGTCCCATGGACTTCAATGCAAAACGCCCCTTACTGACTTCAATGCAAAATCGCATCCCGTTGACTTCAATGCAAAATCGCCTTTAAGTTTTTCTTATTTCATATATATTTCATTTTATCTTCTGTCCAATTTTTGTGTGTTATTTTCAATAAAAATGATTTTACATTACTGGATTGTATTGTTAATATTCATATTCATTAATTCATGATATTAACCCCTTCGCACCAACGTCACACAAATATATGGCCTCACAGAACTGGGCTTTTTTCCGTGGGGCCGCATATTTGCGTACCTGTCTTTGTGCTGGGTGTCACTGAGAGCCTCGGGTCCCGTTCTAACGATTGGGACCCAGGACTCCCGATTCTGGGTCACATGATCGCTGTGATAGCCTCTCATTGGCTGTCACAGTGATCAGTTACTGTACAGCCTGGCCCCTTTGTTTTTTTTTCTCTCTCTCTATGAATGGAGGAGAGAGATACATTGTATCTCTTTAACTACTGGCATAGATTGGGGGGGGAGATAAATATTAAAAAATAAAATAAAATAAAGAAAAAGAACCTAGATCAAGGCTTGATCTAGTTCAGTGCCAGGTTTTTTTTTATTTAATTGGTATCAGTGTCAGTTAATGTCAGAGTGTTTTAGGTAAAAAAACAAAAAAACCCAAAATGCGCACTATTGTTTCTGGGCTGTACTACGGGTACAAACAACAAACATACACATATATGGTATTGCTGCGATCGTCAAGAGCTGGAAAATTTATTTTGGGTTGTTCTTAGGTGGTAGGTTATGGTAGCAACATGAAACACACAGCTAAATTTAAAAAAAATATTTTTTTTTTTTACTATTTTGGGCCAGTTTTCCTTTGATTATAAAAAAAAAAAAATCAGGAGATATCCATTACCATTTACCACCAAATGAAAGCCCAATTTGTCCTGAAAAAAATGCGGTATAATTCACCTGGATGTACAAAGTAGTTGTGATGATATGTACGGTTTTACTAAGACATGTCAACGTTGCAAAATTGTGCCTAAGCTTTAAGATTTGTTTTACCCTTAGGCGTGAAGGGGTTAATTAAAAAGTCGAATATAATACAATTATTTGTAAAAAATATATATATTTTTTAAAACTGTCCATTTTGGTTTTCAGCATTGAATTTTAATTTCGGTGCACCACTAGAAAAAAAAAGAAATGAGTTGAAAAAGGTCGCTGTAAAGGAATGACCTTTCTTTCTTATATATACAGGATATTGTACACGCCAAAACTGTAACACTATTATAAATACATCGCTTTATATCATAACTGGATGGATTAAATAATAAACAGCCAAGTACAGATTTTTGTATTGCAATAAAATGTTACAGTCAGAACCTGACACTTGTGTAATTGACACGAATACTAAACTAGCATTAACAATAATAATGATGTGCTTGTATATCGGAAGCGCTCCAAGATTACGCCGGCCACTCCAAGACTTGGCTCACAGTGATCAGCTCTCGGGAAGCCTGCAATCCAACTCCCAGTATGAGCTCAGTTTCTTAGTGACGTGTCCATTCAACCACAGCCAAGCAGAACAGGTATGCAGGGTAGATGCGGGGCAAGAATTCTTAATGCTACTACTACTACTACTACTACTACTACAGTTGCAAGAAAAAGTATGTGAACCCCTTGGGATTACGTGGAGTTTTGCATGAATTGGGCATAAAATGTGCTCTGAACGTCATCTAAGTCACAACAATAGAACACAGTCTGCTGAACATAATACTACACAAACATTAGATGTTGCCATGGTTTAATTGCA